CAGCTCAGAGGTGGCGGTGATGAGGTTTGAACATCTGCTCTGGCCCGGAATCACCCAAGGCACCTGGGGGCTGGAACCATCCAGAGGCCCCTGCCAAGTGCTTGATGCTTATTCACTCAGTCATTCATCTTTCAACTTCTATTTGCCCTCATGGAGCTTATGGTCCTGTCCCATAGGGGCCACTGGCCCACACATGGCCATTTAAATTTAAATTCATTAAAATGAAGAATTCAGGAGCCCTTGGCTGGCTCAGTGCGTAGAGCTTGCGACTCTCGATCTTGGGGTTGTAAGTTTGAACCCCACACTGGGTATAGAGATGACTTAAAAATAAAATATTTTAAAAAATGGAGAGTTTTTTTTACACCTGAAACTAATGGAACATTGTGTGTCAACTATACTCAACACAAAAATATTAATAGTCTTGGGGCGCCTGGGTGGCTCAGTCGGTTAAGCGACTGCCTTCGGCTCAGGTCATGATCCTGGAGCCCCGGGATCGAGTCCCGCATCGGGCTCCCTGCTCAGCAGGGAGTCTGCTTCTCCCTCTGACCCTCATGATCTCTCTCTCTCTATCTGATTCTCTCTCTCAAATAAATAAATAAAATCTTTAAAAAAATTAATAGTCTTTAATTCTTAGAGCAGTTTTAGGTTCACAGCAAAATTGGGAGGAAGGCACAGAGATTTCTCATGTACCTGCTGCCCCCACATATGCACAGCCTCCCCCACCCATCAACATCCCCCACCAGAATGATGCATTAGTTACCACGGATGAACCTACACCAACATATCATCGTCACCCAGAATCCGCAGTTTATGTTAGGGTTCACTCTTGGTGCTTATATTGTATGGGTTTGGTGTTTTTTGGAGTATTTATTTATTTATTTATTTGGCAGGCTCCACACTGGAGCCCAATGCAGGGCTTGAACTCATGACCCTGAGATCAAGACCTGAGCTGAAATCAAGGGTGTGGACACCCAACCAACTGAGCCACCCAGGCGCCCTGGGTTTGGTGTTTTCATTGCATGGGTTTTGACACGCATCCAGCATTATAGTATCACACAGAGTAGTTTCACTGCCTAAAAAATCCTCTGTGCTCCAGCTGTTCATCTCTCCCTTTCCCTGACCCCTGGAAACCACTGATTCTTTTCGTGACTCCCAAGTTTTGCCTTTTCCAAAATGTATAGTTGGAATTGTACCATATGCAGCCTTTTCAGATTGGCTTCTTTCACTTAATAACATACATTTAAGGTTTCTCCATGTCTTTTCATGGCTTGATAGATCACTTATTTTTAGTGCTGAGTAATTTTCCACCATCTGGGGGCACCTGGCTGGCTCAGTCAGTGGAGCATGTGACTCTTGATCTGGGGGTTGTGGGTTTGAGCCCCATGTTGGGTGTAGAGATTACTTAAAAATAAAATCTTAAAAAAAATATTCCATTGTCTGGGCGCCTGGGTGGCTCAGTGGGTCGAGCGACTGCCTTCGGCTCAGGTCATGATCCTGGAGTCCCCGGATCGAGTCCCGCATCGGGGTCCCTGTTCAGCAGGGAGTCTGCTTCTCCCCCTGACCCTCTTCCCTCTCATGCTCTCTATCTCTCATTCTCTCTCTCTCAAATAAATAAATAAAATCTTTAAAAAAAATATTCCATTGTCTGGATGGACTACAGTTTATTCATCACTTACCAAGAGCCATCGTGGTTGTTTCCAAGTTTTAGAAATTATGAATAAAGTTGCAATAAACATCTGTGTGTGGGTTTCCTCTGTGAAAGTCACTTTTCACCTTTGCACGCACCGTTTTAAAAGGTCATTCTGGGGGGCACCTGGGTGGCTCAGTCGATTAGGTGTCTGACTTCAGCTCCGGTCATGATCTCGGGGTCCTGGGATCGAGCCCTGCGTGGAGCCCCACGTTAGGCTCTGTGCTCAGCGGAGAGTCCGCTTCTCCCTCTCCTTCTCCCCCGCTTGTGCTCTCTCTCCCTCTTTCTCAAATAAATAAACTCTTTTAAAAAATAAAATAAAAGGTCATTCTGGCTGCAGTGGGAGGAGCTTAGGGAAGGTATGGCTCCTTCAAAAACTCTTTTGGTGGGATGAGGTCCTCTCAAAGGGGAGGACTTTGGCACTGGGGCAGGCGTGGAGGCTCTCCCGGTGGGCCTCTTCCTGCTTTGACCACCTTCAGCAGGCTCCATTCGCCCCTCACTGCAGCCTCCTGGGACTCAGAGGTTCTGCTCCCTGCAGTACACTGAAGGAGGTGGGACTGGAGGGCTCTCTCTGCCTCTCCCAAGCCTCTGGGTTCTGGAGTAGAGACAACGCGGGCTCCAATCCCAATTTTGTTACTCACTCGGACCTGTGTCGTCTTCTGCAAGATGGGTAATAGTAGGGCTTACCCACCAGGGTTCGGTGACATTTCCAACAGGGTCCCATGTGGAAAGCGTGAGTAATAAGCACCAGTATTGGAATGGTTGGCCATTGTCATTTATATTAGGAAAGAGCTTTTCTCCAGACCCCACATCTAGATGAACTGGAGGGGATGGGAGATAACAGAGATCACCACCTTCCCTGCATCCTTTCCAGCCTCTACTCCAGGTTTTTGGGGAAGCCACGGCCAGGTGCTCAGACCCGGCTGGGGCCAGCCAGGCACCGCAGGGGTGGGCACTGAGAACGCTGTGAGGAAGTGTCACCCCAACCTGGAAACCACCCCTGAGTGGGTAAGAACAGTGAGGTGTTGGAACTGACTCCCCACCTCGGTTGCCTGGAGCCCACACTCAGTGGTTTCCAACTAAATGCTCCCCAGAACTGGAACACCTGAGAAATGTGGGACCCCAGGAGTTAGTTTGTGAATCGCTCCTCTGTGTTGGACACTTACATGGATCATCTCGTCTAATCAGTCATTTTGATGACAACGGTTTATCAAGGGCCTGTTATTGCCTAGCTCTGTTCTAGTGGGATGCGGTGTCTAATGCGGGGTCTGTCCTAATCGCATGGGGGCCCCCAGATGTGGGGCAAAGATCACACGGAAGCCGGTGGTACAGGCCACCCGAGGCAGAACAAGGGAGACAGAGGTTTATTGAATACACCTGCAAGGGAGTGGCAGGCAGGCCAGCAAAGCAGAGACTGTGCCAGGAGGCAGTGGGTGGGGGCTGTTTTTAAAGGGGGAAGGTGAGGAGGTATGGTGACATAGGGCATTTTCCCTTTTTTGGTAACTGTGCCGGGTCGTAAGTAGCCCATTGGTGAGGTGGGTCACGTGGTGGGCCTGCCTGTATTCAGCCTGGGGGTCACTGTGGGCCCTTTCTACATTCCATCGCTCAAGCCTGTTTGCCTAACAGTGGCCTCTTCCCTGGGGGACAGAAAATAAACACCTCCAGCACACTGAAAAACACCTGATTACAGATTTTAGGGAAAAAGGAGGAATGGGTCAGGGGTTAAAGGACTGGAGGAGAAACTCCTTCTGAAACTCCCAATGCCTGCCTAGGTCATAGTCGGGCTCCACTGTCAAGCCTTCAATGGTAAACAATGGCACCTCCATTAACACTCATGTTTATTATGCTTGAAGTTGTATTTAACCGTTGACTAAACCTCGAACTCTTTGGAACTCTTTGAGGCAAGGACTGTGCCTGCCCCAAGGATGGTCCACCCACAGAAGGAGCTCATCAAAGACCTCTTGATACTAACAGGCTCAACCCCATGAGGTTGGAGGTAAATGAAGCCCAGGGAGAGTATATGAAACCTGATGTGCTAGGTTGAATAAGTGTCCCCCAAAGATTCACGTCTGCTGGAAGAACCTCAGAATAAGGCCTTATTTGGAAACAAGCTCTTTGGCTGTCACTACTTAAGATAAGGTCATGCTGAATTAAGGTGGATCCTAAATCCAACATGACTGGTGTCTTTATAAGAAAGGATACATGCGCACGCACACACACACACACACACACACACACACACACACACACACAGAAAGAAGATGGCCCTGCAAAGACAGAGGCAGAACTTGGGAGTGATGTCTCTGCAAGCCAAGGGACTCCAAGGATTGCTGGCCACCACTCAGCTAGGAAGAGCAAGAAGGGATGCTTCCTTAGAGCCGTTGGAGCATGGCCCAGTCGACATCTTCATTTCCTACTTCTGGCCTCCACAATTGTGAGAGAATGCATTTCTGTGGTTTAAGATCCCCGCGCCGCGCCCCCCCCCCAAGGTTGTGGCACTTTGTTCCAGCAATCGCGGGAAACATATACATGCTCAGGGTCACTAGGGAGCGAGCACCCGTGCTGACCCCGGAGTGTTCCCCGCGGATTTTTATTCGTAAATGGTTTTTACACGCAAAGCGTTACGGGTGAGGGCACATCATCCACACGTTCGTCTATCCAGCAAGTATTTACTCTGTGCCGACGACAGTTAGAGAGCATCCTAGGTCCCTGCAATCCTGCCGCTGAGGACAGGGAGAGAACAAAACAAAACAAACAAAAAAGACATGAAGAGAAAAGAAAAAGACACAGTAGGTCGGATAGTGCATAGAGCTACGGAGAAAAATACAAGATAAGGGATAAGTTTGGGGTGCGTGTGGACGCAGGGAGGAGGTGATGCCCTCGGCCGCGGGGTGGTCCGACATGTGGTTCTTGCACACTTGCAGGCACGGGGACGTAAATGCCAAAGCGTGGAGGCAGGAAAGTGCTAGGCCGGCAAGGGGAGACCAAGTGTGGCTGGAAAGGGGCAGGCAGGGAGCAGAGGAGGGGACGCCCAGGTCAGAGAGGCAGCTGCGGCTTACCGGCTCCTCCAGGGCTCACCCCGCGCCCTAGCAGGGCCCCAGGCAGAGGCGCCGCACCCAACATGGCGACCGCGCAAGGCACGCCGGCTGGCGAGCGGAAGTGCGTAGCGGCAGGCGCCGGAAGTGGCGGGAAGCCCCGCCCCTACCGGGGTGTCTGTGAAGCCGCGGACACGCCGGCTTTGAGCATCCCTGGCGGGCCAGGGGGAGGCCCTGGGGCTGCGGCTCCCGCGGCCGCGGCCCCGCCCGCCTTCGGCATGGCCAGCTCCGGAGAGGTACGGCCGGCGCCTCTCTCCGCTCTCCTTCCTGCCCTGCGGCCTTGGCTCCGCTCGGGCCTTCCCATCCTGCCCCGGTCCCCTTTGCGTCCTTTCCATCCAGCCCCCTAACCCGCTCCATCCTTCCCGTCCCGACCGCGGCCCAGCTCTGTGCTTCCCACCCTGATCTCGACCCCTACCCCCGGTGGCCCTTTCCACCCCAACCCTGGCGTCGGCCGGGTTTGGTCCTTCCTGCCCCGACCCTGGCCTCGGCCTCGCCTGATCCTTGCCATCCCTGTCCTGGCCTTGCCCCTTGCCCCATCCTTGCCTCGTCCCGCCCCTCAGGCCCTCACCCTGTTGCGAAGGCACAGGCTCTCTCCCCTTGGGTTTTCCATCCCTTTCCCAGCCCCGCAGTCGTGGTCGCCAGAGTTCTTCCCCGCCTCTGCGCCCCCAGAGTTTCCATGCTCCTGAAGTCCTCTCAGTACCTTTTCCCATGCCCCTGTACCTGAGCTCAGCCCTTGGAGCTATGAGACGTTCGTCTTTCATGTCCACTCTGCACCTCATCCTCTATCTCTGAATGCTCAGTTTCAGCCCACTTTTCTCTGCGCCTGCTTGTTGTGTGACTTGGGGGGTAATGGAGGAAAAGCCATTTTACCTGGGAGACTTCTGGCTTACCCCGGAATTCCTTTCCCCAGTGCTCCACAAGTCTGGGTTTGAGCCCCTGTAATGTGGTGCAAGGTATTTTGTCTGCAGACCAGGGTATGGGGATCTGGACTCTGACTAGTGTCTTTCCATCTGTTTATCCTGCCTGTGTGTACTTGTGGGCACATGTGTGTCTAGTTATCATCTGGGCCTTGAACCTTTGAGTGCACTCTCTTAGGGTCTTTCCTGTGCTCTGGGGAACAGGAGTCAGAGGTTCAGGTGTTTTCTTCGAAACGGATGGGGCTGGGGTTGCTGACAATTCCTCTTCTTTTGAGGTGAGTTTGGCTTTGAGGTGGCACCCACCCCGATTGAGGGGTAGGGTGTGGGATACACCTGCAGACTGGTGGTAGGACTGAAGGGCCAGAAAACCACAGCTCTTTAAGGAATAGTTATGGAGTCGCCTGGCTGTGTTAGCAGATTCCAGGTAGTTGTGTGTACTTGCGGGAGTTGGGGGGCTGGTACCTTGGTCTTACGGGGTCCAGTACAAAGGGCCCTCTGTTCCATGAAGCACATATGAGTGACCTGGCCAGTGAAGCCTCCTGTATCGTGGATGTCTCGTTCTACCCTGCATGTGGAGATCAAGGTCCCCTCTGGGATGTTCTGTTTATTACCTATTGATACATAGTTTGCATACCATAAAATTCACGGTTTTTTTTTTTAAAGATTTTATTTATTTATTTGAGAGAGAGAGAATGAGAGAGAAGAGGGTCAGAGGGAGAAGCAGACTCCCCGCTGAGCAGGGAGCCCGATGTGGGACTCGATCCCGGGACTCCAGGATCATGACCTGAGCCGAAGGCAGTCGCTCAACCAACTGAGCCACCCAGGCGCCCAAAATTCACGGTTTTAAAGTGTGTGTGTGTTTATTTATTTTTTAATTTTTTTAAGATTTTATTTATTTATTTGACAGAGAAAGACACAGCGAGAGAGGGAACACAAGCAGGGGGAGTGGGAGAGGGAGAAGCAGGCTTCCCGCGGAGCAGGGAGCCTGATGTGGGGCTCGATCCCAGGACCCTGGGATCATGACCTGAGCCGAAGGCAGACGCCTAACGACTGAGCCAGTCAGGCGCCCCAAAGTGTGTGTGTGTTTAAAGTAAGCTTTACACCTAACATGGAGCTTGAACTCACAACCCTGAGATCTAGAGTTGCATGCTCCATCGACTGGCCAGCCAGGCGCCCCAAAGCAGTTTTAAAAAATGTATTCACAAGGTTGTGCAACTCTCCCCACTATAGGATTCCAGAATGAGGTGGTCTGATTTTGAAAGTCATTACTGGCTTTTAAAATGTAGATGCCCAGATTACTCCCAGAGTTTCTGGGAGTAGGGGTCTACGTTTCTTGTAATGGTTCAAATGATTCTGAAGTGGTGATCTGTTGACTCACCTGGTTCTATCCTTCTTTCTCTTGGAAATGAAAAATTGATCCCTGTTCCGGAGCCGTCCTTGGCCTAGTGAGGAGATAAGCAAGCAGGCAAACCGGGACAATTCATCAGATGAGGCTGGAAGGGGAGGGAGGGTCCCTGGTACCGCAGGGGAGGGGCAGGACCCGTCTGGCTGATGCTGGGAGGGCTTCACTGTGTTTGAGCCTTTTAGCCCAAGTTCTGAAAGTAGCAGTTTTCCTGTGTGGTGGCATGTCTGATGGAGGGAACAGCTTATGGGAAGGCTTTGAAGCATGACACAGGGCACATTCCAGAAAATGCCAACTAGAGAAGCAGAGACCTAGGAAGTGGGACAGCGTGCAGAGTGGAAACCCATACAATCCTGCACCTCTTCCGACTGACCCTGTGATTTAACAATTTTTATAATGCAAAATATGCTATATATAACAATTTCGCATCATGACAGTGCACTGTGATGAGCCTTTCTGTTGTACCCACTGCCCCGTTATTTAAAAAAATTTTTTTTGGGTGCCTGGGTGGCTCAGTCGTTAGGCGTCTGCCTTCGGCTCAGGTCATGATCCCAGGGTCCTGGGGTCGAGCCCCACATCAGGCTCACGGCTCAGCGGGAAGCCTGTTTCTCCCTCTCCCGCTCCCCCTGCTTGTGTTCCCTCTCTCACTGTGTCTCTCTCTGTTAAATAAATAAATAAATAATTAAAAAAAAAAATTAAAAAAAATTTTTCCGTTTATTTTTTATTCTTTTTTTTTTTTTTTTTAAGGAAGCTTTATGCCAAACGTGGGGCTTGAACTTAGAACCCTGACATCAACATGCTCCACTGACTGAGCCTGCCAGGTGCCACCCCCCGACCAATGTCCTGTTTTCATAGTTAACACGTGACTGATTTCGTTTCATCTCTGTCTCTCCCTTTGGCTTATTTACATCAGTCCAGACATCTCATCGGTTGGTTTGTGAGTCCTGTTATTTCTTTGGGTACCTGACTGGTAAACATCCGGGAGGGGGATGTTTTTTGGGCAGGTACTGAAGTTTCAGTACTTAATATTTCTTTTCTTTTTCTTTTTCTTTTCTTTCTTTTTTTTTTTTGCTTCAGTTCTTTTTTTTTTTTAAGATTTTATTTATTTGAGAGAGAGAGAGAGAAACAGCATGAGAGGGGAGAGGGTCAGAGGGAGAAGCAGGCTCCCCGCTGAGCTGGGAGCCCGATGCGGGACTCGATCCCGGGACTCCGGGACCATGACCCGAACCGAAGGCAGTTCGAAGCCCAACCAACTGAGCCACCCAGGCGCCCTTTTTGCTTCAGTTCTTAAAAAAAATTGTGAAATGTTACGTTCTGAGAAGTGCGTTAAACTCTTTTTAACCTTACACTTCAAACCACCTATAAGCGGTCATCATCTGGTTCTAGCCATATGGTTCCCAGATACAGCTGAGAGACCCCCGTCTGTCCTTATCCCTGCATTGCATTTCTGCAGACCACACGGGATGCCTGTCCAGGACCTGTCAGGAAGCCCCAGCAGCCCTTTTCTTGTGGAGGGAAAGGCAGTTTCAGCTGATCAGGCCCAGCCTGAGTCTGACCTCAGGCTGCATACCCTTTTTTTTTTTTTTTTTTTTTTTTTTTTTTTTTTTTAAGTAAGCTCTGCGCCCACTGTGGGGCTTGAACTCACGACCCCAAGATCGATAGTCACCTGCTCTACTGACTGAGTCAGCCAGGTGCCCCTTACCTAACGGTTTTGAAATGGAGAATGGGTCTGCCCTAGTTCCCCCAAGGCTGAGAACACATTCTTCTGAGAGGCGGAGGGAAGCAGGTGCCAGTGTATACGGGTGTGTGTGGAGGTGGGAATTCTCCGGGCCACAGTTTTGTTCCACTTCTTCCCAAGGAGCACTCCTGTTTGCTGTTGGCCTCTGCGGAGCTTCTGCCTTTCCTGGGGAAAAGGTGTGTGTGTGGACTTAGAAACCACAGGACCTTGGCTTGGAAAGTCTGGGTTCCAGGCAAGAGACTTGACTATTGCAAACCCGGCAGCCACCTCCCAAGATCGGCCTTTGGAGACCAGGGGGACTCAGCTGCTCCCAAGTGCCTGCAGGGGGCTGGCCTCAGGGCAGCATGTGGGAGCACAGAATGTGGGGAAAGTCATCCTGTGGGGTGTGCTGAGACTGGACAGGGGGGGCTGGAACTGAGTTTCTGCCTTTTTTTTTTTCTTCTTAATGTAACTTCTAGGTGGTTTTAATGGTGTCTTTTTTTTTTTTAATGTGAGCTCCATGCCCAATGTGGGGCTTGAACTCATAACCATGAGATCAGGAGTCACATGCTCTACTGTCTGAGCCAGCCAGGTGCCTCTGTAACTTCTGGGTGGTTTTAAGAGAGATTCAGTATTAGTAGTATAATGTGGACATTATATGATGCCGGAGCTTCTTACACTGTTTTGCCCTGTGTTCTCATTGCTCCCAGAAGGCATTCATACTTTGATAAATCTGCAGATAGGGGGATGAGGAGGGGGTTTGCCTCAGGCTGCTCAGCGGATTCAAGCCATTCCTCCCTCCTGCCCCTAGGCCCTCTCCCTGCCAGTGCCCTGTTGCCAACCTTGCCTGATAAGGATCCCTCTGGTTTGAGCCTCTCCCTGCAGACTGAGTCCCTAGGTCTGGGGTGGGGTCTGGGAATCTGATCCCCACACCTGGCTCTGGGAAGCACTGAGCTAAGGAAAGTCACTAATGGTTGAGAACACTAGCCCCTTGGACTTGGGTGCCCTTGCAGACCTTGGGAGTAGCGAGACAGGATTGAAGGCACCTCAGATGGAAAGGGGAGCAGTGAGGGCATGTCTGGCTGCTGCCTCTTACGGAGAAGGGAACGTGGGAAGGACCAGTGCTGGTAACCAGGTGGGAAATATTTGTTGAGACCCTTTCCCAGGCCTGTGGAGGGCTTGGCAGGCCGTGGAGCTTGTCAGGACCAAGTAGAGGGGCACTGCAGTCCGAGTGCCCGGGGAAACCCCTGGAGGCTGCCTGGGGCTTGCGCATGGCTCTCCCGCCCCGGGGTTCATTGTTGCCATGGTAGCAGCAGGGCTTTCCAGGCCTCGGCACTTCCATCCCTGCAAATATGTGCAGAAGAAAAGTCAGGCTGGAGGAGGAGGGCTTGCAGACAGAATCGTTGGAAATGGCAGGAGAAATAATCGTGGGTGCTCTCTCCTGGGAGTGGTCAGACAGGCACCCCCTCAGTGAGGACGGTTTGGGGGGGCTTGGATCCCTTCTGGGGAGTGCTGGGAAGATACAGGGATCCCTCCCCACCACGGAGAGCCTCCAGTTCCTTTGTCCTTGATTTGGGGATTTCAACCCACCAACCTGGGTTGAACCCCCTCCCTCTCGGTTGTACACATCAACCGGGAACGGTGGAAGGCCCACGTTAGGGAAGAAAACCTTCTGCAGATAGCTACCAGAACAAACTGAAATGTGTGGACATCTTGCGGGAGGTATAACGCCAGTTCCTAGCCAGAAAGTGTGATAAGGCAGGGTGGCTCCCTGTTACCTAGTAGTACTGATCTTAATATCATGAGTAGGTGCTGTTTCTTTCTTTCTTTCTTTCTTTTTTTTTTTTTTTTAAGATTTTATTTATTTATTTGACAGAGAGACAGTGACAGAAGGAACACAAGCAGGGGGAGTGGGAGAGGGAGAAGCAGGCCCCCCGCCGAGCAGGGAGCCCAATGTGGGGCTCGATCCCAGGACCCTGGGATCATGACCTGAGCCGAAGGCAGACGCCCAACGACTGAGCCACCCAGGCGCCCCTAGGTGCTGTTTCTTACTGATAAGGACTTGATGGTTTCATTCTTCTGGCTTTACTTGCCCTTAATCCCAGTGCTGGGACTAGCTGCCCCCCGCCACTGGCTGAGGGCTTGATATCCATCACAGCAACCCTGAGAGGTAAAGTCACTGTTGTTAGCCCCAGTTCTTACTGTTTCTTGATAGAATTCTCCCACCCAAGTGTTTTAAGAATCCCGTGTGATGTTGGGACAGTGGGAGAATAGCAGCTTTCACAAGCGGACAGCCCTGGCCAGTGGTCCTAAGTGGAGTCTGAAACATGCCAGACTTGATAGGAGACCTTTAGTAGGAAAACTCCCTTAAATTTGGAAAAGAATTGAAGTTTCATTTTGAATCTCTTACTTTTGGCGAGAGATCCTAGTGTGCAGATCTAAAAGGGGCTTTTGAAGAGTATCATAGCTTCTTGCTCTGCAGTTAAGATTTTTGGTAAAAGCACCTTCTTTCCCACAGACTATGGCGAGGGCTGCTCTTGGCATCTGTCCTTGGCCGAGGAGGCCAGGCTGAAGGCCACCCTTGGGGATCCCGTGGGAATTCGGTGTTGCCCTTATTTTCAGGACACATCCAACGATGACGACATGCCCCCTGCAGCAGCCGCCATGGCGGTGGGCGCCCACCTTCTCGGCTTCTCGGATGAGATCCTGCTGCACATCCTGAGCCACGTCCCCAGCACAGACCTGGTTCTGAACGTCCGGCGCACCTGCCGGAAGCTCGCAGTGCTCTGCCTGGATAAGAGCCTCACCCACACCGTGCTGCTGCAGAAGGACTATGAGGTGAGGCAGGGGTCGCAGGGGTGGGCACAGCCCACATGCCCACCTGAGGACTCGCATAGCTGGGCAGTGGGGCGCCATGTGGCTGGTGACAGAGGGGGCGGGTGCTCAGAGTCCTGACTGGCTCAACCTCTGAGACACATGAAGTGATAACAGCTAGAGGCCGAGAGGTGCGGGTAGCGGGCCACCCAGCAAGGGGGCACAGGCTCAGTGGATGCTGTGCTGGGACGGAGCCAGCCTTCCCGGCAGATGCCCAGAGAGTTCTGGAACTTTCTCGGTGGTGTGGGGAGGCACCATCTTACCCTCCAGCAGCTGCGTGTGGGTCTTCAGTTGCCTTGCACCCTCCTGGCCAGGCTTCTAAGTGTCTGTTCTTTTGATGGGTGGGACAGGTGTCGCCTTGTGCTTTTACCTGGCCTGGGTAGGGTGCTGGGGTGTCCAGGGTGCTGTTTCCATCCAGGGTTGGGCCGTCCCTATATCTTCTTTCCAGAAGCCACTGCGTACTAGGGCTTTATCTTGTGGAGTTCTAGGAGTTCTCTTGTACTCTGGATCCTTTGTCGGATACCCGTATTGCGAGTATTTTCTCTGAGTCCGTGGCTGGCTTTTCTGGTTTTTTTTTTTTTTTTTTAACAGTATCTTTTGAAGAGAATAAGTGTTTATTTATTTATTTTTTAAAAGATTTTATTTATTTATTTGACAGAGAGAGATAGCGAGAGAGGGAACACAAGCAGGGGGAGTGGGAGAGGGAGAAGCAGGCTTCCTGCTGAGCAGGGAGCCCAATGCAGGGCTCGATCCCAGGACCCTGGGATCATGACCTGAGCCGAAGGCAGACACTTAACGACTGAGCCACCCAGGCGCCCAAGAGAATAAGTGTTTAAGTTGAAGTCCAATTTATTGATTTTTTTTCGAGTTCATGTTTTTTGTAATCTGTTGAAGAAAACTGTTAGACCTGAGGTTGCGAAGATTTTCTGCTACGTTGTCATGTAGAAGCTTTATAGCTTTAGCTCTTATGGTAGGTGTGCGATCCCTGTTGTGTTAATCTCTATATGTGGTGTGAGGTAAGGATCAAGGGTTCCTTTCTTTGCATACGGCTCTTCAGTTATTCCAACATCACTTATGGACACTGTTGTCCTTTCCTCAGTAAGTGCCTTGCAAATTTTTTAATTATGTTTTTACATTTTAATTCCAGTATAATTAACATACAGTGCTATATTAGTTTCAGGTGTACATCACCTGGTGCTCACCACAAGTGCACTCCTCCTCGGTCCCCATCACCAATCTCCCCTGCCCCCCGCCTCCCCTCTGGTCACCATCACTTTGTTCTCTGTAGTTAAGTCTGTTTCTTGATTTGTCTCTCTTTTTCCCTTTGCTCTTTTGTTTCTTAAATTCACATATGAGTGAAATCATACAGTATTTATCTTTCTTGGACTTACTTCACTTAACATTAAGCTCTCTAGCTCCATCCATGTTGTTGCAAATGGCAAGATTTTATTCCTTTTTATGGTTGCCTTGCAACTTTTGTTGAAAGTCAGTTGACGACATATCTTAAAGATAACAATGGAGGGGCGCCTGGGTGGCTCAGTCGTTAAGCGTCTGCCTTCGGCTCAGGTCATGATCCCAGGGTCCTGGGATCGAGTCCCACATCGGGCTCCCTGCTCTGCGGGAAGCCTGCTTCTCCCTCTCCCACTCCCCCTGCTTGTGTTCCTGCTCTCGCTATCTCTCTCTCTGTCAAATAAATAAAATCTTAAAAAAAAAAAGATAGGGTGCCTGGGTGGCTCAGTTGGTTAAGCAACTGCCTTCGACTCAGGTCATGATCGTGGAGTCCCGGGATCGAGTCCCGCGTCGGGCTCCTGCTCGCGAGGGGCCTGCTTCTCCCTCTAACCCTCCCCGCTCTCATGTACTCTCTCTCTCTCTCTCTCATTCTCACTCTCTCAAAATAAATAAATAAATCTTTAAAAAAAAAAAAGATAACAATAGAGGTCTTGACCGGAACCCAAATTTTAGGAGACTGTGGGAGGGGTTCCTAACTATTGTCACTGGTTGTGAAGCTATGCATTTGAACCCCAAGTGAGGCCCCTCCAGAGCTTGGTTCTCTCTGTGAGAGCATGCTGTGCTCCTCTCTGCTGGGAGAGTGTGGGTGTGCGGGGAGGCTGAGCTAACTCCCCAGAGCCAAGGTGAGGCTTCCTCCCTGGGAGAGTTCTTTCCTGGAGAGGGAGGGGCAGGTGCCCCCAGCGCAATGGCGCAGCACTGTGTATCTGGAGCATTGAAGATGCTTGTGTCCTGCACGAGTCTTACCTGAGAGAAGTGATCGGGATGCACGCACATCACATGCGCCGGTGCTCCAGGCGGTGTTGCTGCTGAAGGCCTCCTTGGCAGCGGCCAGGACGTCCAGCTGTTGGCCCCCAGGTTCCCTCACTAGACGTACCATGGCTCACCTAAGCAGTCCACGGCAGGTTTTTGAGGAATATTTAAGATGTGAAAATGCAGATGATGTAAAGGATCAAGTTTTCAGGGCACGATTCCGTTGTGTGATTCAGAAAAACCCATGTCAACATAACGTGTACCATCTTTACCATTTTTAAGTACGTGTTGCTGTATGTTAGTCAGTACATCCATTTGTGGTGGTGTGCCAGAAATTTTCCATCAACCTGAACAGAAACTCTGGATCCTGTGAGCAGTGACTCCCTCTTCCCCCTTCCCCCAGCCCCTAGCAACCTCTGTTCTGCTTTCTGCTTGTGGATTCGCCTCTTCTGGGTAATTCGTGTAAGTGGAACCACACAACATGGGATCTTTTAGGACTGGCTTCTTTCCCCTGTGTGACGTCCTCAAGGTTCACCCACATTGTGGCGTGTGTCCGAGCTTTGCTCCTTTTCGTGGCTATATAGTCTTTCCTTCTATGTGCAGACCATGTTGGTTCTGTCTGTCGGTGGGTGTTGGGTGGTTTCCAACTCCTGGGACTAGTGCTGCTGTGAACATCGGGGAGCAGGGAGTGAGTCCCTGTTTTTCCTGTTCCCTCGGGCCCACGGCTAGGAAGGGAATTGCCGGGTCACATGGTCACCCCGTGTTTAGCTTTTTGAGGAACCAGCACACTTTTCCACACCAGCTGCACCATTTTTACATTCCTGCCTAACTGGGGCCTCTTGACTGTTGGCCTGTGGTAGGTGAGCATGTGGGAGGGGGAGGAGGGGCCAGCTCTCCCCTCCAGTGTCCCTCCTCCGCTGGACTAGTGAGGCCCTGAGTGTCGTGGGGGAGGGCGCGACCTGAGGGGTAAAGGTGAAGGAGTCGCCTGGGTGTCTTCAGCCCCTTTCCTTCCTTGACCACCCCCCTCCCCCCATTCCCGGCCTTTCCTGCAGGCAAGCGAGGACAAGGTGAAGCAGCTGGTGAAGGAGATCGGCCGGGAGATCCAGCAGCTCAACATGGCCGGCTGCTACTGGCTGTCGGGTGCCACTATTGAGCACGTGGCCCGCTGCCGCAGCCTGGTCAAGGTGAACCTCTCGGGCTGCCACCTGACCTCCCTGCGCCTCTCCAAGATGCTTTCGGCCCTGCAGCACCTGCGCTCCTTGGCCATCGACGTGAGCCCCGGCTTCGATGCCGGCCAGCTGAGCGGCGAGTGCAAGGCCACGCTGAGCCGCGTGCGGGAGCTCAAGCAGACGCTGTACACACCCTCCTACGGTGTCGTGCCCTGCTGCACCAGCCTGGAGAAGCTGCTGCTCTACTTCGAGATCCTCGACCGCACACGCGAGGGCGCCATCCTCTCGGGCCAGCTGATGGTGGGCCAGAGCAACGTGCCCCACTACCAGAACCTGCGGGTCTTCTACGCGCGCCTGGCCCCAGGCTACATCAATCAGGAGGTGGTGCGGCTCTACCTGGCTGTGCTCAGCGACCGCACGCCCGAGAACCTCCACGCCTTCCTCATCTCTGTGCCTGGCAGCTTCGCCGAGAGCGGGGCCACCAAGAACCTCCTGGATTCCATGGCCCGCAACGTCGCGCTGGACGCCCTGCAGCTGCCCAAGTCCTGGCTCAACGGCTCGTCCCTGCTCCAGCACATGAAGTTCAACAACCCGTTCTACTTCAGCTTCAGCCGCTGCACGCTGTCCGGAGGCCACCTGATCCAGCGGGTCATCAACGGCGGGAAGGAGCTCTGCAGCCTGGCGAGCCTGAACCTCAGCGGTTGTGTCCACTGCTTGTCCCCGGACTCCCTGCTCCGCAAGGCGGAGGACGATATCGACAGCGGCATCCTGGAGACGCTGGTGGCGTCCTGCCGCAACCTGCGCCACCTCAACCTCTCGGCCGCCCACCACCACAGCTCCGAGGGCCCGGGCCGCCACCTCTGCCAGCTGCTGGCCCGGCTGCGCCACCTGCGCTCCCTGTCCCTGCCCGTCTGCTCCGTGGCCGACTCGGCACCGCGGGCCGACCGCGCGCCCGCCCAGCCCGCCATGCACGCCGTGCCCCGCGGCTTCGGCAAGAAGGTGCGCATCGGCGTGCAGTCCTGCCCCAGCCCCTTCTCCGGGCAGGCGGGCCCTCAGCCTTCCTCCGTGTTCTGGTCCCTGCTCAAGAACGTGCCCTTTCTGGAGCGCCTCGAGCTGATCGGGTCCAACTTCTCCTCCGCCATGCCGCGCAACGAACCCGCCATCCGCAACTCCCTCCCGCCCTGCAGCCGCGCGCAGAACGTCGGGGACTCGGAGGTGGCCGCCATCGGGCAGCTGGCGTTCCTGAGGCACCTGACTCTGGCCCAGCTGCCCAGCATCCTGACGGGCTCCGGGCTGGTCAGCATCGGCCTGCAGTGCCAGCAGCTGCAGTCCCTCTCGCTGGCCAACCTGGGCATGATGGGGAAGGTGGTCTACATGTCTGCCCTCTCGGACATGCTGAAGCACTGCAAGCGGCTGAAGGACCTCAGGTGAGGGGGCCCTGGCAGCTCCTCTGTGGCCTCGGCGGGCCCCTTGGAGGCGCGAGAGGCGGCGGGGGGATGTGGGTAGCACGGCCTCTCATTCGGCAAATGTTTGCGCACCTACTGCCCGTCTGCCGAGATGGACTGAAGGAGGGGCGGGCTGGCCTCCAGCGGCTGAACAGTCCGGGCGGGGCTGGCAGGGGCCCCGCAGGCGGGGACCGGACAGGGGGGCAGCAGTGGGCAGAACCCAGGGAGGGCAGGCGGGAGGCAGGGATGCGCTCAAAGATGCTACTGCGCGTGGTCTTGCTCCGTCCTCCTGATGGCCCCGCGAGGTGGCTGTTCTTGCTCCCATGCAACAGCTGGTAAGCGGGGCAGCAGGAGCCGAACTCGGGGCTTTTTGTCCGACTTTGTGATTGTCGGAGCTATGAGTCCGTGAGCTGGGAGACTCGAGGCCGAGGCTTGCGGGGAAAGTAGGCAGCATGTGCTGTAGCCCCCGTGGTCTTGCAAAAACACACGTGTCCCAAAGCACAGGCGAGGTGGGGCAGGGAACCAGATGGGGTGAAAGGACTTCAGCCGGCGCGGGGGGGCGGGCCGATTTCCGGTTGGGAGAGGCCCCCCCACCGGTACCCCACCTGGACAGGAGGGGCCGGGACGGAGGAGCTGGAGAGGGCCGCCGAAGCAGGGGCCACACGCGGTTGGGAGGTGACGGTGGCCTGGGGCGGGAGGCAGGCTGGTCTGAGAGAGTGAGGGCAGAACCCACCAGGCCCTTGTCACAGGGGCCCAGATTTGGAGTGGACTCTACCGAATCGAGCTGTGGAGTGAGGGGGGCTCTCGTGAGGACCCAGCGTTTAAAGGGGAAGAGCCTCTGTTGACTCGAGACATGTTTGAAAATCTTGACAGACCTGCTCTTGCAAAATTGCACTGTTTCCTAGAAACTACTGGAAAGGTATGGCGGCAGCGGACCCCAGCTCTCGCTTCATTCAGGTTGGGGAGGAAGTGGCGGCAGGGTGTGGATCCGCTAGCTGGTCTCTCCGTCAGGCTGGAGCTGAGGGGTGGGTGGCTGGGTGGGGGCAGCGCCAGGGGCCCTGAGACGAGTTTGTCATTGTCCGCTCGATGGTCCGCACGCACTTTGTGCTTTTGGTGAGGCCAGGTGCTCAGCCAGGGGCTTCCGGGCACTGTCTGATTTAATCCCCGGGACAGCCCTCCATTGTTCCCATTTCACAGATGAGCCAGTGGAAGCTTGAGGGAGGAGTTGAGGTTCACCCAGCTCAGTCTCACTCCAGAGCTTGACCTTGGCCCCGGAGCCGTGCAAAATGGAGACATCTGTGTCCTCTGCGGACCTCCACTCTCCCCTCAGAAGGTGTCATGTGACAGGAAATGGGCCAGATTTGCGTTGGAGCTGGCAGAGGGCTTTGCGCTCACACCCTGGAACCTTGCACAGCTCCGCTGCAGACTGCCTCCGCTTCCCCTCCAAGCACAATACGAACACTGCGGCTCCCTGAGGCCCTGCTCATCGGGGGCTGAGAGGCCCGGGGCCCAACCCCAGCCTTCCACGTGGCAGAGCAGATGTTTTCCTGCTGTGTTGGATTCACACACCCTGGATTCGCAGCTTGGGTCCTCGGCCTGAGTGTCTTCCGAGCCCTGTATTTGGGAGTTGTTTATGCTGTGTCCTACACATTCCAGTTACACTTGCTTTGAGAATCTGCTTTGAGTCAAAGTTAACTTCGGGCGAGTTTTGTTGTCCAGTGTCTGTGAGACCCTGTGGCCACGTGCTGAGCTGCGGGTGCTGGGCTCTGGCTGTGCCTCCCCAGCCATTTCCGGAGCTTGCCCAGAGGTCAGACAGGAGGTCATGAGAGGGTTAAGGACGTGCGATGGGCAGAGTTGCTGTTCCCGTGGCAGGGCCTTTGGGACCCTCTCTCCTGCTCCGGGTGGGCCCGGCACTCCTGGCCACTGGCTTCCCAGGGCTCAAGGGAGTGAGGACTGCAGGCCCGCTCTTTGCTTCTTGACCGCCCCCCCCCCATGTTCTTTTTCCTGCCCATCTCTGCCTCATGGCGCTCATCGAGTCCTCGGTGTTACTTTCTCCGGCGTGGGCGCTTCTGCTGGGGTGGGGTGGAGGAGAGGCCCTGACCGCAGCGGCCAGCCCCCTCCACCACGCCCTGCATGGGACGGGCCTTTCCGACTTCTGAGGTGCCCACGCTTGCCTTCTTGCCTGTTTGTTTCTGACACCAGGAATCCGCGACCTCTCTGTTCACTGGTTCTTCTCTGTCCAGCACCTTGTCCCACTTCGCTTCTTCCTGTGCGTTTGCTGTCATGTCACTGGCCTTTCTGGAAGAAGTGGTGGTAAGTGCATGGTCAGGAGGCCACATGTCACTGTGGAAGGGGCAAACAGATCCCTATATTTAACAAACAGAAGACTCCACAGGTCTGCGACCCTGCTAAGCTACGGGAGTCTGTGATTAGGAATTGAATGTTCCTTAATGAGGGGAGGCCCAGTGAGCATTTGAGGTCGAATTTCACCAAATTCGGAGTCAAAGTATTTTTGGATCTCTCATCTCTCATCTTTGCCATCAGTTTTTTGTTTTTTGTTTTTTTTTTTTGCCTTCTTGCCAGCCCATTAAGCCTTGTACCTTTTCTGACTGGACTGTGGTCACACCGTTTGGTCATCATCGGGGAGTATTGGATAAAAACAGAAACTGAAGAAGGTAAAATAAAGTACCTCAGTCGTGTCATTCAGCAAGTCAGAGTAGTCGAAATCTCTCCCCCAAACATCTGCCTCACTCCAGAGCATTCAGTGTCTGGTGCCTGCAGGGCCACTTGGAGACAGCAGGTGCTCCCGGCTCCCTGGGTTGCTGGCCCCTCCACCTCGGGGAGAGGGGGGTGGCCATGGCGTCTGAGCTGGTTCACCGCCCCCCCTCCCAACCCCGGCACTCCCAGGTCCTTTACCTGTGAAGTGGGGCTGGTAAGCCCAAAGGAATTTGTACCTGTAAGGCCTATGGAACAGGGCTTGGCACCTGCGGTCCCCGTGATGGTTCTTTCTCCATCTAACAAATATGTGAACACCTGTTATGCCGAGTTCTGTGCTGGGCAGAGAGATCCTTGTGCCTGCGGAGCTGACTTTCCAGTGGGGAGAGTGGGCCAGCAGTGCACAGAAGAAAGAATGTGGTTTATGAGAGAGTAAGGGATGCTGGGGAGAAGGAAGCAGAGCGGGCTGAGGGATGACGGAGGGCAGGCGCTGGTGAACGTCATGAAGGTGAGATTTGAGAAGAGATTTCACGAAGTTGAGTTAGCAAAGTAGAACCTGGGAGGAACATTCCAGCCAGGCGGAGCGGCACGGAATTCAGTGTCCGTGAATCACCGGCGACTTAACGTTTGAATGAGTTAACACGAAATAGACTCGGGCATGCGGTGTCTCAGCGGTACGAGCCACGTTTCAGGTGCTCAGCGAGCGCACGTGCTCGTGGCTGCTGCAGTGGACAGGGCGCACGTGCGGAACGTTCCCGTCTGCACAGAAGGTTTTGCTGGACAGAGCCGAGTCTGTGCCAGGGCCCTGGGGTGGGCTGTGCCGGGTGTTTCAGGAGCAGCCAGGGGCCCGTGTAGCTGGAGGGGAGCAGAAAGGCAGGTCACCCTGCCATCTCCAGACGGGCTGGGACAGCACGGAGAGATTGGAGTTTGCTGATTGATCGGATCCCTGGGGTGGGTGGGGGGGTGGTCAAGGTGGATCCTGATGGAGGCATTTGGCCCGAGCAGTTGTGCTGATGCGGCTGCCGTCAGTGGAGAGGGGGAGGCTGTGTGGCTCGGCTGCGCTCGTGCACGCCGGAGTCTGTGAGGCCGTGGGGTCACTCAGCAAGAGTCAGGGTGGAGGAAGAATCAGCAGAGCCGACCGAGCAGGAGCCGGCGGGAGGGCGGGCAGGACTGAGGTGGCAGATGGAGCTGGGAGGTGTCCTGGGAGCTACGGGAAGGGCCGGGGGTGCCGACTGCGGTTGCATTCTGCCAGCGGACTTGTCACGGCCGCCAGGTGCTTTTCCTGCGTGTCCGGGCTTGACTCCTTTAACATTTTGAACAACCCCAGGAGTAGAGCTGTTGTCCCATTTTGCAGATGAGGAAAGTGAGGCCCAGAGGACCGAGGAGCTTGCCTAGGTGATACAGCTGGTCTGTGGGCTCCTGGCACCGGGGAACATAGAAGAGCGGGACACAGCAGCATTTGGTGGTCACCGAGTGGCTTCCGGGGCTGGAATGTGATCCTTGTGGCGAGGTCCTCCCCGGGAGCAGGGCCGTGCATGCATGGTGGGTTTTGTGGCTGGGGCGGCCCGCAGGACCCAGGATAAATGGGTTTTGTAGGTCAGCCCGAGAACTTGACCGCCGCTCATAATGGACTCTCTGTGCACGCCGGCTGCTGAGAACCATGTCTGATCAGAGCTGGGGACTGCCTGTTCAGAACAAACACCACTTCCTAAAATGCAGCCAAATGGCCCCGTTCCTCTGGATTCCTGCCTTCTGCGGCAAGCCGAGCCCAGGGAGGCTGGAGTGAAAGGAGCAGGTGGTACTTGCCCGCCTGCCGTGCGCAGGAGCCACAGAAAGGAAATGGTGCTCTGAGCCCGGGAGAGACTGGCACGCTGCTTCTGGGGCCGCCTCCCTGGGCAGCCCCTGCTCTTCCCGGTGGGAGGTCCCCGGCCGGCCAGCTGTGGCCACCACTGTCCCCATCAGCGAGGCCCATCAATTTGAGCTTTGTGCCTGCTGGGACTCCTGGCCGGGAGCTGCGTCCGTGCAGCCGGGGCCACTCCTGCGGGGAGGTCGCGCAGGAACACGTCGTTCTGAGGCGCACCTCGGCAGAGAGAGGGTTACAGGCTGCACAGAGAAGGGCACCTTCTTTCCCAAGACTGATTAAGCCCTGCCTTATGGGGGAGGGAGGGTAAAGCATTACCCTGAGTCACCCTGGGCTGCTCATGACCTCAGAACCAGGGCAGCGTCTGGGCGGAAGCGAGAGGGCTGGTTTGGAGCCAGGCCCTGGAGGCTGTGCCAAGTCCGCCCCAGAGGCCTAGGCCCCGCTGGAGGTGGGTGGGCAGATGGGGGTGCTCCCCTAGCACCTTCCTGTGCCCACAGAGCCATGGGGAGACCAGGCCGCCTCTCGGGGAGCGGGCTCCGGAGGCCAGATCCCCACTGGTTGGAAGGTTGAGGCTTGGCTGGGAGGGAGCAGGACCATGGGCCCCCCAAGGCGAAGGTGATTGTGATGGATCATTTTTGTCATCCGCAGCCCCACCGTGCTGGGAGCGGAGGGGAGGTTTGGACGTGTGGGCCCTGCCTGTCCAGGCAGCTGGTGGAGTGGACGGGCCTGCCCCCATCCCAAACACCTGTTGCAGGTGGCTTCCTTCAGAGTGGGAGAGCCTGGAAGTGGTCGGCTAGCTGAAAACTGTTTTAAAAGCGTGTGTGAACACAGCACACTCACACTGCTTACTGGGTTTGTAACCGAGATCTTGGGCGGGTAGCGTGGACCCGCAGCGCCACCTAGTGACCAGGGTGCCCCAGGCCCGTGCTTCCTTTCCTGCCGCCTGCCCCAGGGGCAAGCCTGAGCCACAGGCCCCCCCTCCCCCCTCCCCAGCCTGGACTTCTGCCCCTCCCATTTTCCCACCCTCAGGTCTGCAAAGGGATGCTTACCTTAGGACTTTGAAAAGAATAATTTGTTTTTGAAAGAGAATGCAAGAACGTGTTCAAACATTTTCTCAAGAAAAGTTAACTTTTCAAAAAAATTCGCATTCCTAACTGGGCTGACATTTACTTGCTGTCTGGGTCCTGCGTGACTTCAGGTGTTACCTTATCCTTGCTTGGGGTGCATTACGACTGCACTCAGCCACCGTCGCATCTCTGAGGGGCACTGCTCCCTGCTTGCGCCTCTCTGAGTTCTTTCTTTAAGGATGGAATTCATTCAGTGGGGTCTGCGGGTAAGGCCCGAGCTCCACATCTCTGGCCTTGGATCTAGGGCATGGCCCGTTTGGGTCTTGTTTGGCTTTGAGGACTGGGGGGCCGTCCCTTGTCCTACACCCAGTTTTGGTCAGATAAGCCTCTCTCATGATGTTGCTGCATTCAGAGCATTTGGGGGTCTCTCTCCCCTTGGGGCCTGGGACAGGACACTCTGTCCCCAGTGCAGACCTGCCGCCTTGTGGTCGTGGGTGTGGGCATTTCTTGCTCATCCTAGAAACTTCTCCTTTTATGAGCGCTGTGTTGTCATGTGGCGCTATCCCCGCGTGTACCTCCGGTGCTGTGTCTCTGCATGGCCTTCTTGTAAGGAACCCGCTGCTGGATTAGAGCTCCCCCAGTCCAGCATGACCTCATCCTAACGCCATTGCATCCGCGAAGATCCTGTGTCCAAGGAAGGTGTATTCACGGGTGCCAGGGGTTAGGACTGTGACATATCTGGGGGGGGGGACACAACTCCCACCAGCTCCCCTCTCCCTTTTCCTAGTTCTTGGCCCTCCTCCTGGCAGCTCCTGGAATCCTGTTAGCTTCCCCCAGCCCTCCCTTCTTCCACTGGCTCTCATTCTAGAGGGCTCCTGTGGCCTGTGGCCCAGTGTTCTGCCACAAATCCGGTGTCTGCTGGTTCCACAGCCGTGTTCCCAGCTGGTGCAGAACTGCCGTTGTCAGTTTTCCTCAGTGCCTCCAACAGTGTGTCCCCAGCACATCGCTCTGCCCTCGGAACTGCTCTGTCCTCTGGGCTTTGCATCTGGGTGTGCAGAAAGGTCTGGAAGGGTTTGGAGTGTTGTCCTCCACTCCGCGTTCCTGGGTCCTGCTCTCGTCCCTGGGGCCGGAGTGTCAGTGCTGACTCCAGCGCTCCCTCCTGCCCGTGCCGAGGCCCTGCCCGGTGGCCAGTGTGGCTCTTGCCGTCTCTTCCTGTCTGCCTCTCTAAAGCAGGTCTGACCTGGGTGGATCTCCAGTTTTGCTTTGGTTGTTGTCCGCGGCTGAAGTCCTGGCTTTGTAGCTTGGCTCCTGTTTCCCTTGGCTCCCCACTACAGGACTGTGGATCTGCCCAGTACCTCCCCACCCTTCCCTGTGTGGCCAGAGCGGCCCCGACCCCGCCTGACTCGGGCACCTCTCCCACCCCAGCTTCCAGATCCCCTCCCTGTCCCTTGGCATTGCTCCGTGCATCACAGGCAAGCAGTGATGTGTGACAAGGACCGTATCTAAGTACATCTCCCTGCCCCCTTGCCCGGCAGGTCAGCATTTGAAGCGGGGGGGGGGGGGGGGGGGGGGGGGCGGGGATTGCTGAGCAGGCAGGGCCGCAAACGTGGTTGCCTCTAGGCTCAGAGCAGTGTCTTGGCTGGGGTCTCTACAGTGGCTGGCTGCTTGCATCGGGCCTGCAGGGTCGTCCCCCCCCCCAACTCGGGTTCTTCTGGGAAGACCTCGGGGTTTCGAGTGCTCTCTCAGCGCTCCAGGGGCTTGTGGTGTAGACCAGCGTGGGGACAACTGGTGTAGGCCCTCTTTAGCTCATAAACACAGGCTTTGAGGGGGGCCTGGACCGAGAGGCTTCTGCAGCCGGCGCGCCCGTCAACAACGCGGAGCTCACTGTCCTCTCCCCCCGCAGGTTGGAGCAGCCCTACTTCAGCGCCAACGCCCAGTTCTTCCAGGCGCTGAGCCAGTGCTCCGCCCTGCAGCGCCTCTGCCTGGTGTCGCGCAGCGGCACGCTCCAGCCCGAGGCCGTGCTGGCCTTCATGGCGCGCTGCCTGCACGTCGTTGTGTGCCACATGTTCACCGGGGAGTCCCTGGCCACCTGCAAGAGCCTGCAGCAGTCCCTGCTCCGAAGGTGAGTGCTGAGGGCGGGCCGGGCGCTGGGGGCAGCTGGCCGCCTGGTGGCTGCCCCCCCTCGGGCTTTGCGCAGAGCCCAGCAGTTAGTAGCTCCATGGACTTAATGCCTGCAGAGGTAGCGTGAGAACAGAGACTAGCTGCCTTTCCCCGCCGTGCCTTGCCTCCCGGGCACTCCCTCTGCCACACGCCGAATTTCTGCACTGTTGAGGCGCAGAAGTATTCTCTCCACGCCCAGCTTCCCGTCCCTGCGGTACCGTTCTCCAGACGCAGGGTACCAGGACCGGTCAGGCTGCAGACCTTCGCGGGCCCTCAGCCCCGTCCCTGGGCCTTTTCTGTTCCAGGGTTTGATGCAGAACCGCTCCTCATGCTCGTTGTCATGTCTCCTTAGCCTTGTTCGGTCTTTGACAGGCCTCAGTCTTTCCTGGTCGTTCGTGACCGTGACACTTGTGAAGAACACTGGCCAGGTGTTTGGTAGAACGTCCATGAGTTTGGGCCAGAAGTCCACAGAGGTGACGCCACGTCCTCAGTGTGTTGTGCCAGGGACACAGGGTGTTGGCATGTCTTCTCATTGGTGTCTGTGGGTTTCTCGGCTGTAAAGTCACATTATTCCCTTGTTTTTTTTCTTTGAAGATTTTATTTATTTGAGAGAGAGAGAGAGACAGAAAGTGAGTGGGAGAGAGAGGGAGAGAGAATCTGAAGCCAACTCTGAGCTGAGCACAGTCGTGGGGCTCGATCCCACGACTGCAAAATCACGACCTGAGCCTAAACCAAGAGTCGGACGCCCAACCAGCTGAGCCACCCAGGCGCCCCCATTTTTCCTTTTCTAATTAACAAGCATCTTGTGGAGAGACGCTTTGTGAGAGTCTGCAAATACCCTTTTCTGTCGGAGTTTTATCTGCTGATTTTAGCGTCCATTGATGGATCTTGCCAGTGACAGTTGTTACTTTGATATTTGGCTGATGACTGTTTTCGGTTTCCTTCATTCCTCTTAGATTTGTTACTGGAAACTGTCCTCTGTGAAGGAACCTGGGCCTTCTCCACATTTACTTACCTAACATTTCTTTGTATTAGTACAGACTCATGGATATTTATCTTATTCAGTGGGTTTTCATCATGCTCACACTATTCATGTGGTTGCTCAGATTGTTCCAGATTTGGCCATGGGGGTGTTCTTTCAGACTGGGTCCTGTGCCCTTGCAACATGCCCCTTCCTTTTCTGAGCACTTCCTTCCTTCCTGTCACTACCAGACGTTCCAGCCCCAGGCCTGAAACCAGCCATTTCTTTGTGGAGCCTGGCTCCTTTTGTTGGAGGGTGGAATTAGAAACCAAGGTTGGCTGTTGGGTGTGCTCACTGCTGCTGGGGTGTCATTGCCTCCAGGCCCCGTCATGGACAGAGTAGGAAATTCATCTGCGTATGTTCTTGCTCACACACACACCCACACACACACCCACACACCCACACACCCCTGTATTTCCTTATCACCCATTTGCATCGATATTAAAAACGAGTTCATACTGATGCCTTGCGTCCCAGCCCAGTATCCCAGAGTTCCTGCAGGCTCCTCCTCCTTCCTCATGACTTACCCCCCATCGGTGAACAGGCTGGCTGTCACCATCCACAGTGTGTTTGCTGGTTCATTCCACTCTAGTGCGCACAGGTAAGGCAGTTTTGAAAACCCAGCTCACTGCCTGGAGGGTAGTATGTGTTCACGCTCTTGCCTGATGCTTGTGGTATCCTGCCTTCCAGAATTACCCAGGATTGTTCTTTGCTTCCCACTCCCTTCAGTGTGGTCATGTCGCTTGTTTGTAATGCAGTCAGGTTCCTTTATTACTGCATTATATTGCATTGGGCATTCACACCACGTCCTGGTAGGTTTTGTTTGTCCGGGGTTGTGGTGTGTGAAGCCTCGCTGTGACTCAGAGTCCGTTCTCTATCAAGTGGCGTCCTTGGAGAAGTGCCGCCCCGTGTCCCCTTCCCTCCACCTCACCGCCCCTGCAGACAGGCGGTCTTGTCACTTCTTGGTTATTCTTTCTGTGTTTTTTTGCACAAGTGAACGGATAGTATTTTCTCCTATTTCTTATATGAGCTTTGCTTTTTTTCTTAATGATGTGTATGTTGGAGTTCAGTTTGTACCGCTATTGCTCATTCTTCTTACCTCCCTGCATTCTTTTTTCATTGTGGTAAAATATACATAACACAGTTTCCCGTTTTAACTGTGGAAGTGTATAGTCCAGGGACATCGAGCCCATGCCCGCTGTTGTGCAGCCCTCCCCCCACCCCAACTTCATCTTCCCAAACGGAGGCTCTGTCTGCATGAACGCTAACCTCCCAGCCCCTGCCCAGACCCGGCTCCCACCGTCTACGTTCTGTCTCTGCGAGTCTGACGGCTCCAAGGACCTCGCAGACATGGAACCTCAGCTCTGGCTTCTTCTGCATTCCCTTAGACATTTATTTTAAGAAGCTTTAAAAAAATAGAAATAAAAGATTATCATGTATCGATTGAAGTGTAGCTCCTCAGACTTGCTGAACCTACCAGTATGAGTCTGCTTTTCAAATCCGCAGGGGCGCTCAAGGGCACGGGGCTTTGTTTCTGTGTGTCTGTCACACCCACAGACGTGTAACACTGCACGTGGTTGTGCGGCCTGTGCTTTTCATCTGATGTGGATTTGAGCTTTGTTGTTGGCCCTTCACTGGGGCTGTTCCGTTCCTGCTGAATGCTGTGTGTGCTGATCCCCCCGGTGGATTCGTCACATTTTGCATATCTGTTGTGCTGATGGGTATTCGGGTTGTGTCCCGTGTTTCCTCTGTCCCCAGGAAGGTCCTCGTGCAGGCTCCCCCACGTGCAGTCTGCAGACTCGTAGAAGGGAGTGTGTTCTCTTAGCGTGTGTTCAAGAAGATGCCCAAATGCTCTCCAAAGTGATGCTCCCGAGCCCCGCTTCTGCTTACGGGCTGTGAGAGTCCCTGCCCCATGCCCTTGTCGTACTCCTTTGTATCGTTGGACTTCCAAATTTTCCTGGTCGCCTGGGTGAGGATGGCCCTCCTGCTGTCCATGCTTGGGTCTCATCTGTTCCCAGCAAGCGTCGTCTGCTGTGTTTATCACCAGGCCATATCCTCGTCTGTGATCAGCTCTGCGGAGCCCTTGCTTTTCTGTTGGCTTTCTCTGGGGAGGGGAAGAGGAAAGCTCGGCACCGGTGTGCCTTCGCTGTGGCTTCGGGTGGGGTGCTCAGTGGTGAGAGTCCGTGCTGCTTCTGCTAGTCAGCGGGCCCACCGTATCGGGGCTCCCAAAGCTACTGCGTTTTTCCCGCCTGCTGTGTTCACCGTCGTTTCAGATTGTCGTCATGCGTTCAGTGACCTCCACTACCCTTCTCCTCGCAGAGCTTCCTTTTAAAGCTGCAGCTTGTTCTTCACCGTGTTCTCAGAACGCAGGTATCAAAGCTGGTTGGCTTGTGTGCCAAGTACAGCCAAATGGGCTTCGAGTGATGGCTCTGGGGAACCTCCCCCGGGACCACCGCGTGTAATCCTGAGTCCTTCGCTGCTGGTGCTGAAAGCTCAAAAGATTCCCTGTAAACCCAGTTCGCACCGGGGCTTGTGTTAACTAAATAAGGGCCCAGATACACCTTTGGCCAGCGAGGTGTACCCTGTCCCTCCAGCAGGAAATGCTGAGCTTGGGTCAGCTGCAGGTTGTGGGAAGGCAGTTGAGGGGGCGGTGTTCACAGGCTCCCCTTCGGTGGAACACTCTGGATGCCATGGCCCGTGTGGCCTGTGGGCCCCTCTGCAGTGCTCCACAGGCCCTCTGGGTCCCCCCTGGGCTGTGTGACGGCAGTGAATGTCACGTGCAGACTCGTGGGATTGCTGCACTCCCAGCTCAGCTGGGGACGTCAGGCAAGGGGTGGAACTGAAGGCTCGGATGGTCAATATCAGATTACTCACCTCCGGTGGGGATCATGCGGCCTGATGGGCAGTGGGCTGTCTCTGCAGCGAGTGTGGGAAAAAATGCCACATCGGCAGTCTCTACCTTTCTCCTCTGGGCTGAAGCCCTTTGAGGTGCAAAGGTTTCTTTTCTTTTCTTTTTTCTTTTCCTTTCTTTTTTCCTTTCTTTCTTTCTTTCTTTCTCTCTCTCTCGCTCTCTCTCTTTCTTAATGATTTATTTATTTATTTGACAGAGAGAGAGACACAGCGAGAGAGGGAACCCAAGCAGGGGGAGTGGGAGAGGGAGAAGCAGGCTTCCCGCCGAGCAGGGAGCCCGATGCGGGGCTCGATCCCAGGACCCTGGGATCATGACCTGAGCTGAAGGCAGACGCTTAATGACTGAGCCACCCAGCCGCCCCTCTTTCTTTCTTCCTTCCTTCCTTCCTTCCCTCCCTCCTTTCTTTCTTTCTTTTTCTTTCTTTCTCTCTCTCTCTCTCCCTCCCTCCCTCCCTTCCTTTTTCTTTCTTTCTTCTCTTATTTTTTTTAAGAGGAAGATATTTGTTAATTTTGAAAATTTTTTTATACATATAAACCTTACCATTTTGACCATTTTTAAGTGTAGAGGCATGCCTCACTTTATTCTTTATTCATAGATGCTGTTTTTT